AGCAATGAGAACAAGAAAAACACAGAGAAAATGGCCTCAAGGGAAAGCTCTGCATAATAAGCTTGAAATTGCTACTGCTGGAAATAACTGTTGCTGCTTTTCCTGCCGGGGCTGTCACCTCACTCAACAATTTTAGCTTCAAGTGGAGAGCGGAGCTTTATTTTGAGCATCACTAAAGGCTAAGGTTTATGCTGCTGGATTTCCCAAACTGAGGCCAGTATGCTCGTTGGTACATGGATGGCATTTTTAAAGAGGAAATAGGCCAGGAATAGCCCATGGTCTCAAAAGTTAAAAAGACATGTTAAAGAGCAGAAATAACAAAGCATATAGAAGCCATATTTTTAGAAGAGATCTGCACCACACTAAGTGGGAACTCATAATTTAAATGAATAGGGAGGCCAGGTAATTTAATTGATAACAGTTTTCATAGAGATATGTAAATCATTCCCAAGATTTTTAGTTCCATTTCCTACCTTCCCTTCTTGCCTGATAAGGAAGAACAAGGAAACTGATTCTAGAGAGAAAAGCAGAGCTATGGACTGCCTGAGATGCTCATTCCCCCAAGGTTATTTCTTCAAGATGGTCTCATAGAAGCCTTGGTTACTGTTCAAGTCATGCCTAAATGGGAGAAACACAATGAATGAAAGGAAGTCAGAAGGGAAGCTACAATGCACAGTATTGTAAAATGTTCTTAACTTGACGAGTTGAGCACATGGATGAATATTTAGTGGTCTTTTTAATGCAGTAACCACTTTTCAGTGTTACTCATCTAAGTGGTTGCTGTAGTTACAGCATAACCCTGAGAATTGGCAGAGAGGGAATTGTGTATTCTGTGACATTGCCTAGCCTGTGTGAAATATTTCTTGAACATTTGTGTAGCCTAAAGTAGGTGGTAGCTGGAAAGGTCTATGACTGTATACACAGAAATTTATTTCCTAATCCCAAATAGAGATTATCAACCTTATATTTCAGGATTTATCTTGTTTAAACATATTCATGTACCTTCAGATATCTTGTCATGCAAGTGAATATTTAAGTCTCACTTAAGTCCTGGGACTTTATAAGGAGTTTTGTGAAATAGATGACAATGTAGGTCATAAAGTAAACCTCATTATTATTTTAAGAAGTGAAGATTTAAGGTCATTTATTTATATAGGTGCTGACTGTTGTAAAGCATAGGAGACACTAGGGGAGGTTTGCTTATGGAGTCAGTTTACTGGAAAATCAACAATGTCAGAGCTGCTCTAGCTCTAATATTTGGAATGAGTCAGGCTTGACATTTCGAGTTGAAAAGAATGCAGAATTTAGAACCAAGTTAAGAATATACTGGATGGAAGGACAAATTAGATTTTTAAATTGACATGCAGTGCTAAAACTAGGCACAGCTTTCCTGGATTCAGAAAAATGACTAATACAGAAAAAACCTGGACTTGGGAGGAAGGAATCAGTGTAGGGAATGTGTGCAAAATGCAATAAGAATCCTGAGGAGAAAGCAAGGAAAGGGACAGGTATTAGGTGGTTGGCAATAAGTGCAGAAAATGTATTATTAATAATATATTAATATGTAGTTAAGAGGTGAAACAAGAAGAAATATTAATTTTAGATCACATCCCTCTCAAATTCTGTTCCTGGCTGTCAAATGGATTGTCACATCACAGACAGGATATGATTGCCATGGAGATGGTTCCAAGGACTTCTATAATTTAATTTTTGCTGGGTTAATATTTTTTATTTGCTTCCATAAGAGTAAATTATCATCTTTGTCTTGCACCTTGTTGCAGCACTTACGTACACTGTTTTTATCTAAGGACTCTGCAAGTTGTTTATGCACATATGTTCTTCAGAATACTGAAGAGCCTGCACTTTGTACTGTTAGACTACAGATGAAAATTGTTCTTTTCCTTATACTTTATGTGCTGTAGCTGTGGATCAAAATGGAAGGATGGCCTTAGGGAAGGATGGCCTCCCCTGCTTTTAAAAACTTCTAAAATGTCTGTGAGCTAAGAATTTTAATACATACCTTTGGGAAAATTTGTACAGTGATCTGAAGTAGTATGACCCTGATAGAATACGGTAAAATATGCTTCTAATATCTTCTCTTTTTCATTGCAATCATATTTCTGTACTTGTACTTGTGTAGTTTTGTCCAGACATTGATGTTGTCAGAACATTCAGATTCTCCGTTGCAATCTTTCACTGCCAGTTTTGGAATGTTCCAAAAACTTTTTGCCCTAAGACTTAGAGAAGTACACAAATAATTTGGTTAAATTAAATGCTGGTTACAACTGGCATATGCAGTGGAAGGGGTAATGGTGGTTCCTGTGCCAGCAGGAATACAGAAATTGCTCTTTCCAGGAATATATCAGGCATGCAAATTGCTGTAAAGTGCAGGGGAGATATTGCTTTCCTTTTCCTCTGCCATGTAGAGCTGATTATTGCCAGTGATGCTGGAGAAAGGAAGGGGAAGGAATTGCACTGGGAAGAAGAATTTCTCCTGGGATTTATTGAGATTGAAAAGGATTTTTCTTCCATTTCTGAAACATCAATAGGCTGATTATTGAGATGAGCAGTGGTTGTGCTGAAGGATGGAGGAAGGAGAACAGCTTTAGCTGAGCTGCCAGTACAGAAAAATAAAGAAGCTGTATTTATTGCCAAATTCTAGAGGGATTCTCTTGAAGCCAATCCACGGAAGTATAAAGATGAATGCCTTGTGTGCTCAATGACTCCTATTACTTCTGACAGTAGAGCACTAGGCCTTCTGTAGCAGAAGTTTGTCTTTAGCTGAGTTCCACATCCTTCTGACCCTTGCACCTACGTGCCCACCCTTAGAGTATTCTTGTTCAGCTAAGAGCTTGAATGCTCCTATTTTTGGAACAGAGGGTTTTCTTCATACAGGTCACCAACAAAGACAGGAAATGTAACAAGGCAGCAGCAAAGATCTAGATGCAGCCCATGAAGACATTGCTGGAAGTGAGAATCTCCTTTCCTATAACTGAACAAGCAGTTCTCTCTTTAGTAAATGCCAGCTTTCCTACCAGGCAAGAAGACAACCTTTATTCTTAGATCAGCAGATTCAGTCTCTGCTCAGAGCTGGAGAGTTGAGCTTGCTGGCACTCTAGGTTTTCTTGCAAAAGGTTGAGTACTGCATCTCACAGATGCTTCCTTTCTGCTGAATTCTGCTCTTTCCTGGAGTTTCAAAATCTGTTAAAATTTTACTGCAATCTCTTGAGTTTGGCAGAAAGAATTAAAGGCAGAATTTGACTCTATTCAGGTTGCCTAGTCCTTGAGAGGAAAGAAAAGCATTATTGTGACTCACAGTAAAAGTATTCGTGTTAGTGTTCTCACCTTTATGAATCACATTAAAACTGATATTTGTGGATATGTTTTTTTCATGAGAGCTATAGGGATCGTTGGGTTGAATTCTCCTCATAATTTGGATGATCTTGAATTCAAGGTTGAATTATTTTTCATGTATACTGATCATTTACTAATTATAGATGAAGAAATTCTACTTCACTAGGGTGGAAATTTGCTTGCATCACAACAGAGGGAAGATATTTGTTAGTTCAGGTATTGAAATTTTTGATTTATCTAAAAATTCCACTAGGATCTGAAGCCAGTCTAAAGTAATTGATAATGACTCTTTTGGTGATAAATTAAATTTTGCTTTTTACATACTTGCCTCCAGACTTATATTTGTTACTTGTGCCACATTATTTATAAGTAGCACTTTCCTCCACAATTTAGCTCAAGGATATCTGCATAATCTACAAACAGCTAAGGAATGTCATTAATTGCATCCTTCCTGTTGAGAACAAAATGTGCATGTGGGCCAGTGCCCACAGATTATTTTATTTATTTTGTAGAACTGTTCAGACCTATTGTGATATATGAAAATATTTATCTTTTCCTGTTTGGGCAAAGGTTTAGAAAGACCTTAGCAATTAATCAGACTTGATGGCATTATTGGTTGTATTTGTGGAGTATTAGGATTTCACTTTGGTAGTCTTCATTCTAGTTGATTAAAGTGTGATGTACCTGTCAATAATTTCATGCAGAGGAGTGGAAGGGCCTTGCCTGTGAGTCCGACAGTGAATCAGGGTTAGAATCCAGTGGTCAGTGTTTGACCCTTCTGCTCTGCTTTTAAATTATCTCTGCCATAAAGCTTCATATTGTATATCTGCTTGAAGTCTTGGCTTCAGCTATCAAGTCTCAATCCACAATTGTAGTTAATAAATTAAAGGTCATGCTTTGTTGTACAGGTAAATACATAACCTAGAGCAGATGTTTTACATTCAAAATATATTTTTTTTTAATTTGGTGATTTTTACGTTTTCTTGCCAACCATAATGTGAACGATATATAGACATGAGAACTTGATACATGCTTAATGTAAAAATATCAGTGGTGACACTTTGTTCAAGCATGATTAACAGAGCTAAAGCCAAACTTGATAAATTTAGCTAGCAAAATGTGAATCAAACCCTGTTAAGTACCTCCTGGCAAACCAAACCTCTGATGTGAACAGGAGCTCTGTTACGATTTTGTCCCCCTTTCTCTCTATCATAGTCCAGAATTTAAAGCTCAACCCTGGAAAGTTCTGGGTATCAGTGAATGCCATGTAGGAACTGAAATGCTGAGCATCTTGCAGGATTAGGCCTTTACTGTGGTCCAGATCTTGTGCATTATGTGATCTGTTGTTCTTGAACTAATAGATCTTTCTCTTTCCCCTCATCCTGAAATCTAGGTTATGTTATATTGACTACAAATCCTGGTTGTAATAATTTATTCTCTTTTAAGGCAAATAAAGTAAAGCAAGCCATAAGGCATATTCCCCTTATAAGAAGATTAATGTACAGAACTTGATTCACTTACGCTGTCTTTTGTGCTGGTTTGGTCTTGTTTCTTTAAGATGAGATGTCTGTCTCTGTAATATTTGTGTGTTTTACTTGCTGTAATCTGATGCACCATTTCTTTCCCCTTTTCTCTCCTCCCCTAAGATTATCGTTGGAGAAACTGCAGTCTTTTGTCTACAGTTAGCTACAAAGGATTTTGAAAACCAAGAGAAAACAATATTAACTGGAGACTGTTGTTATATAAATCCGCTGGTGCGCAGGACCATCCGATTCCTTGGTATGAGCAAAATTACTGCTTTCATTTTCTGAATGGTGAGAGTGATCAATTATGTCTTAATTTTGACCTCAGGAAAATATTCAGATAACCGTATTACATTTCATGTGTAGTCTTAACTCAGGTGCAGTTTTCCTTTTAGGCAGCAAATGCAGCTTTTTGGAAGTTTGGATTAAAAAACAGTTGCAGAAACAGCAGTAAAAGTAGAAGGAGCTGGGACCACTAGGGGGAAAGACAACCAGCAGGCATGAAGTGGGGTGAAGTGGAGAAAGGTGGTATCCTTGGGCCATATCTATAGCTGATAGTAAACACACACACCCCCCAAAGCTGAGGACATTGGGATATAAATGTGTATTTGAAGCCAAGCCAATTCAGCTGCTTTCTTAGCCTGGATATTGTCTTATAGCCTCTAGCAGAAAATTGTGCAAAATCCATGCTACATTGGTTTTAGCTGAAACTCCCCCATTGACTTTAGTAGCTATGAGATGTCATCTTTTCTGTTTAGTTCATTCTAAATGTGTTTGGAAGGAGAAATCCCACCACTCAAAATTTGTATTAGCCATTTCCAGATGCTGCTTTTTAATACATGTAGGGATGCCATAGCAGGGCTCAGTTCTTCTGTTTGGTTCTCTCTCATGGCTGCATCTGAAGGAAACAGCTGGAGGAATGAAGCCTTGGGGCAGCTCATCCTGCTGTGTGCCCCAGTCTCAGGGGGAGGGAGGGCATGTGCAGCTGTGTCTGTATTTGCAGTGTTTGTGTAACAACTGTGCCTGCCTTCCCAGAGTGCGATTGCCCCCTGTAAGGAGACTCTCTTGTATAGGCCTGGAGGAGGTGCAGAGTGATGATAAGGAGCTCCTCCCACTCCAGTTCCTCTCTGTGTAATCAGTGCCTGAGTTTTCTTCCCACTAAGTGGTCCCTTCTTCCTCACAGAAGCAAAAAGAATTTGGTTGTGATGACAGGAGTGAACAAAGGCCTCTCTGCTGTTCCAGTGGGTGAGGCATTGCTCCCCACTATGCTCCCCCAGCGTGACGTGTCCAGCTGTGTTGTGCAGTGCACACCCTTGGGATGGCTGAAAGGTCCTTCTGTGAAGTGACTTGGCCAGGCACAATGTGCTGCTCACCAGAGTCTAGCATCTTGGGAGGAATTAACATTAGTGTGACATGGCTGACCAGCCAGGATCCCAGAAATCAGCCTTGGTCCTCTAGCTTTGCTAAGAAAAATCCTGACCTTTATAACTGTATGTTTCTGTGGAATTATGTCTGCTGTGATGTTGATCCTTTAAAGTCTTCATAGTGCCCCATGAAACTGGGATTTTCCAGAGCTCACCCTATATTCACAGTGAATTGGAGTATGAGAAAGGTAAGGTGATTAGCCCATAGAAATGTAGGGGGAAATCTATAGCTCAGGTGGAATTGGAACAGGCATCCACTGGCTTTGCCTGCCGGTCAGGCTGCTGTGTTTGCATGTTCTTCCAGAGCTCATTTTCTATTTACAAAAGGATAGAGAGGGACCTCAGAATGGCAAAAATCTGTTTTCTTTTAAGTAATCAGTAATTTGCATTTACATTCTAATGAATGAATACATGTGCTTAATGCTTTGCTGATATGTCTGATTAAAAAAACTGTTTAGCATAAGTAGTTCCTCAAATATATAAATCTTTAGCTCACTGTGTTCATACTGTGATTAATATGCTATGCATAGAGATTTACCCAGTAGCAGGCAGATGAAGACAACTGGTGTGTGGCAATATTTAATTATTCAGTACTTTAGATTCTGTACAGCTGCAAGGGGGGGAAAAAAAAAGTTTTTCCAGTGTGTGTTATGACTTTACAAGTTACTTCTTCATCAGGATCTCACCTTAGTTTTCAAGCAGATTTATCGGGTGAAGAATTTCCCTCTGTCACTTCTGTTTAGGGAACATGGGCAAAAGTTAGGTACCAGTAAAGCCAGCTACCCCAAACAGGGGATATGCATGGCTGTGGGGCCCAGGAAAGCAGGCTGCTTGCACAAGGGGTGAGTGTTCCTATGAAAAATGGGAGAGACATCAGGTGTGTGGGTACATTGCAGTGTTCCTGCTGCAGTTTTGTAGGAAAATACCATTTCCAGCATGAGCCGTGCTCTTTGGGTACAGTACATGGGAGGATTTTTCATGTTCTTAAATGGAAGAAGCTGGTCTATTGCTGTGATAAATACTATAAATTGTCAGAAAATTTAACTCTTTGTTTCCCTCTTTAGGAATTTATGCATTTGGACTGTTTGCTACGGACATCTTTGTAAATGCTGGACAAGTAGTAACAGGGAATCTTGCACCCCATTTTCTTGCACTTTGTAAACCCAACTATACAGCACTTGGATGTAAACAGTATACCCAATTCATCAGTAGCGTACATGCCTGCACTGGAAATCCAGACCTTATCATGAAAGCCAGAAAGACTTTCCCATCCAAAGAAGCAGCGCTAAGCATATATGCAGCTATGTATCTGGCTGTAAGTATATTATATTATTTAATAGCACTATATTTTTGAGAGCCAATGGCTGGCACTCTGAGGGGGAGGAGGGAGGAATGGGCAGAAGAAGAGGCCCAAAATTGGCTGGTTTTCTGCATGCAAGTCTTCTGTGAGTTACTGTGAGAATGATTCATTTGGCTTAATTCTGACAAGGTGTAGTGGTTTCTGATCCTTGAAAGCCAAGACAATGCTAAGAGAGGACAAGTTGTCCATAAAGGTTATAATCTATGGATTTAGGATACTCAGTTCCTTGGCTTACTTTTCCCCCATTTCAAGGATGTGTGGGACAATCCTGTGCTGGGTGCTAAGGAGTAAGGGTAGGGATTTCCTCTGACTGGTAGTGGTACCTCTCTGTGTTCTGACCCAGTGCAGATCAGTAGAATCACACATGGCCATATTCTTTGAGGTGAAACAGAAGGGTGAGTTATATGGATGTCTGATCTCTGCATGTTTCTCAATATCCCCGTGTGTCTTTTGGTACCAGAATTGGTGTTTATAGGTACCTCATGCAAAGTCAGCTTGGCTTGTATTAGGCAATAAAGTGGGCTACAGGACAGTCCACCCTTTTTTCCCTCTCTCCTCTCTTTTAAAGGGAGAGATGAACAGCACTGGGATAAAACTTGGTGTTGACTGCATGGATCAGAGCTGTTGTACAGGTTGTGGAAAGGAAGAGTCACCGTTTAGTCTCACTCAAGTAACTCAGGTGTAGTTTGGAGTGCACATCATTCTAGTCTTAAGCAGGAGCAAGCACATCTTGTTCCTTTGCTGGGGACAAGTTCTCCCCAGCAGATGCATGTGGGAGTGTCTTACCTGACCTGTGCTGGTAATCACAGCCCTCTGTAGCCCTTTGGATGAGCCCAGGGCTGCCTTCACAGTGTCAGTGGGAAACTAGGCAGGTGTGTGGTCATTGCAGGAGTCAGCCCTTGTGTTCCCTCAGTGGCCTGCCCATAGGTGTGTGTATGTGTATGTATGCACATGTAGATAGACGTGTGTGAGTGTGCATTGCTTTTGAGCACTTACCAGTTGAGCCAGCTTTTAATTCCTGACTGATCTGGCAGGTGACACTTGACAATATGGCAAAGATCTCGGCCTCAGTGTGTCAGCTCAATGCTTCTACTCAGGATTTTAGAACCAGTGGCTTAAAATCTGCAGCACTGATGGTAACATTTGCCAGGTTCCTTGTGAGCAATGTCTGTTTAAGAGATGTTGATCATCAGTTAGCACAGGCAAGTGTTTGCAAATAAGAGATGAACAATAATATTATATTGTTTAACTTGAGGCAAGTATAAGTCTTCTACTATTACTGTCCGTATTTGGGGAGATATCTAAGGATGAGACACTCTAAATTTGATGCAAGTTATTTTAGAAAATACTCAGAATTTTTTGTTTTAATTGCTCCTATATTTCTCATCTGTCTGTAAAGTTGGATTTCTACTGTTGCCAAGAGTCAGAGTAACTAGGAAACCAGCTATTGAGCTACTGCAAAGCAGAAAGTAAAATAGTATTAATGCATACATTCGAAAAACAAAAAACAGGCATCAGTAAGGTTTAACACCTAATATAAGTGGCTTTTGACATGAGCAAGAATACTTTATGCAAACCTTGTCTGTGGTCAATATACAGTTAGCAATATAAAAAATTAAAGTTGCTGAGATCCATTTCATCACTATTTGCTCTTTCAGTAACTATAGAAATGAATATATCCTATGTCATTACTCCTGCATGGTGCTTGACACTGCTATCATTTAACTAAAGCACTATTAACTACTCTAAGGACTTCTGAGTTCCTGTAGTAGCTCCTTGTTACAATATTGTCAGGTTCATTGTTTTTGGTTTTGTTTTTTGGTTTTTTTTCCTTAAACCCTAAGCATGACTGAATCTAAAAATACTATTTATTACAATCCAAGGGAAAAAAAAAAATCAATGTTCCAGTATTTGGGGTCGTGTCCTTACACTGCCATGATGTTTATCAGGATAGTTGGCCCTAAATAACAATTTTCTCATCACTGTTCACTGGAGTAGAAGATTTAAAACAGTAGCCTAGTCTTTCTATGAGCCATGCCACAACAGTTATTGACAGCATGGACATAAAGACCTCCATATATTACTCACTTTTTCATTAGCATATAATCTTTGGTACAATATGTACTTTCTTTTTGGTTAGCAGAAATTTTGGAGAGAGGGGGAGATTGTTATGGAATCCTCCCTGGTTATTTCAGTCAGCTGGGCACAAAACAAAACCAGCTTAAAGGAAAAAAAAGCCACACAAAGAGCTGATACAAGGGTCCTTGCTCTCCGAGGCAGTGAAGTAAATGCTTTTGGACTTGTGTGATTTCACCAATCAACCAATTTAGAAACAAAGCTTACGCTTTATCTAATAATTCCCTTATCTCATTCCATTTAAGTGCAGCCACGTCCTTATCACCTTACCATCTGTGCATATTGTCTTGTTAACAATAGCTTCTTTTTTCTAAGTTCTTGAGTCTTCCATTTCCCCCTTTTCCCCCTTCTGAGAGTGGGTGGCTGCTATGGTAACTCAGAATTCCCTTGAAAGTACAGTCGTTTTCAAACAGTTGTTTTGCTAGTATTTAGAGCTTTGTAATGTTTGCCTCCATTACTTCCAGTGTCTATCAAGAGAGATTGGAATGGAAATATTGAATGGCAGTGCTGTGGTTAGGTGTTTTCTCTACCCTGTCCAAACACCGATGCATTACCTTTCTTCTTCAAACTTTCAGGTTTATTCTTTCCAGTGTACCAGTGTTTTCAAAACGAGCTACTGTAAATCTGTTATGAAATCTCTAATTAATCTGACTGGTGCCTGGTTTTTCCTTAGGTGTCTGCGCTGATCTCATTGGAGATATTTTGTTTGTTTGTTTTGGTTGAGTTGGGTTAATAAGTTGACTGCATCTACTTTCATTTCTTACTAGCATTGCAATTCACCCTTTCTCAGATGGAACAATATTTGCTGCATAGGCAAACATTGCAGCTTTATTAAACAGTATGTAATTGTATAAGACACACTTTGATATACATAAGCTGACATAGCCTGGACAATTAGAAGGAAGTTTTGAAGCAGCCCAGTATGCACATACTTGGGGTATTTTCTACAGTTGAGACACAGGAAGTGGAAGTCATAAGTGTTTTTTTGTTAGGATTTCAAAGTGATATGTGAAGATCTAGTCAGACTAATCCCATAGATTTAAATTTAAGACTTATGACAAACACTTATCCTTTGGTACTGCAGACCTAGGGGATTGGTCATGGCTAGCTGTAGTTCAAGGGGAATTTTAATTCTATGAAGTTTTGCCCTTTTTTTTTGTTGTTCTTACTGCATTTCACAGAAGCAGTTGGATAGGGTAGTGTTTGAACTTTGTGTTACTACACACATTTCAGGCTTGCTTTGGGTTTGTAGTGATAGAGGAACAGGCTTCATGTCTTGATAGTTGACACAGCCTTTAAGTCTGTAGGCAGCTTTTGTTGCTTTGTACTCTGAACCCTTGGCCTCAACTGTGACTTCAGACGGGACTAGCAGATTGTAAAGCCTACAAATAATTGTTTCCTCTCTGCAGAGCTTTTGTTTGGCCCATGATCATGTTTTCTGCAAGGCTCTTGCTCCTGGCATTTTGCTGCATTGATTTTGCTGTTCAGTGTGTTTATAAGTCACTGGGAAAAGACAAGACAGTCTGGGTAACAGTGCTGGCAGCGTGGTGACATTCTCCTCAGTGTCACTCCTTGATCCAGTTATAGGTGTAGGTGTAGTCTTGCCTGTCCTTTGTCTTAAAGTGCCTATTAGATTCCAGCTAAATGGGCAGCTGGTGAAGGCATGATAGGCTTCTCAGACAGAGTTAAGGGAGTGTTCAGGAGGAAAAGGACTAGCAGAGCCACCTCGCTGAACTGACTTTGTTGTCCATTTTTTGTTAGGAAATTAAAGGATTCTTCTGGCTGCCTTTCAGGAATAGTGCTAGGAATGTGGAATTTCTTCTCAGTATCTGGTGCAGCAAGTATACCTCAGTACTGATAATAAAACATATGTCATGAGCTTCACAAATTGAGTGCATTGGTTTGGTTCAGACCAAATAATAAAATAGTATTACTATTTGAGCCAGGAATTTATCTAAAGACCTCTGTAAATTTCATGTCAGTCACCTCTTCATTACAATTGATATCATCAAAAAAAACCAGCCTTTGTAATAGGTGTTTTATGGTCTTGGTACAGAGAAAGATACCTCTTACCTTCTCCAGTGGTTTTACAGTTACAGCTGTGGGGAGCTTGTAGTGGGAAAATTAATAGTAAAGTCCAGAATTCTAGAATTTCTTTTCCTTTTGCCAAGCTAGCCCCTGACTTTGAAAGGTAATTTTTGTTTAACGTCATAAATAATTAGATCAAAACATATAGAGAAAGCTGGAGGAGGCTTCAAAAACACTAAAAAAAAGCCTTCAGTGGACAGTTGCAGAAGGACCCAGATGATTTGAGAATATGACTTTGGTTTGCTCTAGAAATAGTTTGACGCATTAATTATTACCAAAGGAAGCTTAAAAGATTTTGGATTTTCAAACTGAATTCTAACTAAACACTGAACCTGTTTATAGGTTACAACAGCCCACTATTTTTTCAGCTTTTTGATATGAGTGTCTCTATTCTTATAGGTCTGATGAATATTGAAAATTCCTTGGATGGAACATTTATAACATTACTTACATTACGTAAATAGTTCAAGATAATTTCTTTAATGCTAGCCCATTGTAAAACCAAATGAAAACATGAGATAATTTATGTTTGAAGTGCTGCCTGGGATCAGTGCCTGTACAATAATTTCTTCCTCATTCTTCTTGTTGCCTTATGAGTCATTATTCACTGCCCACTGATGGATTGGTCTTTGTCAGTCTCCCAGGCCATCTAAATCAGGGAGAAATGAAAGAGCAGATGCAGAAGGGATCTTCTTACCTGTGTCCCTGGGCCCCAGGCTGATGAAATCAGCAAGGAAAATTATCTTCCCTCCTGGCTGGAGCACCCAGCCTGATGTGTAGCTCCAATGTAGCTAAAATGGGATTCTGAGACCTGTTACACCTGTGTTTGTGTGCATAGATATTGGTGTGGGTGGGCCTAAAGATAGCTGAAAGATGCCTAGAAAGAGCTTGCAGCATAGCCCAAGAATCCACTTTGTCCTGCACTTCACATACAGCTCCTGTTCTTTTCTTAACATGTTTTGGAATTATTTTATTTGTACTAGATTTAAGACAAACTTCACATGAGACTTGCAACCTGACACTTTTGAAGTACTTTGCCAGTACAAGCTAAATGCCAAGGCTATGATTGTTCCATACACTATGGTGTGAGCCAGTCACACCAGAAACTTCACAGGGAGCTTGCTTTGTCTTTGGTGGTGATGGTGATAATTTCTTTCAAATTGTTTTCAAACCTGCTTCAATTAAAGGTTTTCTTTCAATTTATGAAGTTCTCTTACAACTTCATTTCCAGTATCTTGAAGACTGAAGGTCAAATGTTTGTGTTTTTCTGAAAATCTAGTAAATATTGTTATATTGTGCAATCAGGTAACAATCCACCTCCTTACATGACTCTCTGCCTGTGTCTGCTTACTGTGACAGCTCTCTGTCTTTTAATACTAAAATCTTATTTCAGGAAAAAGGAACAGCAACAGCAGAAGTTCTTCAAGAGAAGATTCACTACAGTTCTGATGTTGCAGGAGAACGTGCAGCCTGCAATATTAATTCTAACTACTGTATCAATCCTTGACCTTACATACAAAATCTCAGCTGTTGGTCTTGCTGTTGACTAATGTACAAGTTTTCTTTCATTGGAAAACTCCTCTCACAATTTTTGTTCTTAAAAGGAATGTGGATGAAGTTGTTCAGTAAACATCTTTAGCCCTGTAAAAAGTTATACTGTCATTCATTCCTACTAATGTTTTAAATCACTGAGCTATTTTCCTTTGTTGATACTGCGTTTAATATTTATTAAAAGTGAGTGAAACATCCTGTCATCTTTTCAGGTTGTTTATTCTTAGTCAATTATTGAGTGTGCTGGTTTATAGTTTTTCCACCAGAATCAAGAAGAAAACAGCTGCTTAATTATATTTTATTCTTAGTGTAGATCAGGTAGTTGACTGTTAATGTATTATACTGGAGCTGCAAGAGGCCAAGTTTAAAAATGGGTATCTGTGAATCTTGCCTTGGAGGAAGCTATATTTGTTATATAGAGTTTTTCAAATACAGACTTTTTGTCACGGTGTTTCAGGAAAGTTTGGCCTGTTTTTATTGATTCTCTTGTATTGTAATATAATGCTATTCCTTACATGAGTAGTACCTGTTCTTTAAAGAAAAGATAGATATGGTACCTGTGCTGGCAGAACCCTCAGGTTATTCTGAATAATGAGCTGGGCATGACAACCATGACTGCTCATATAAGGAGGGGACTTGGCAAATGGAGGTCTCTGCTCATGTGGGGCACAGCATGAATATGTGGTTGTTTTTCCTCCGTGCTTTGAGTGGGGATTTGAAGGACATACTTGGTTGTAAAAACATTCTGAGAATTTTATGCAGAACATTTTTTGGGTTCAGCTTTATATTAAAAATGTTGAAATTTGATTGAAGTACTGCAGAATCAAGTATTTGTACTATAATGTGTTTTGTCTTACTAAAATTGAGATAATCTTCTTGGGCAATGACAAGTTGTTATAGATAAATGAAATATGTCACCATGACCTGCCTTAAGCAAATGTTTCCTTCTCAGTAGTCATTTCAATTTAATATAACCCAATACACAATTAAGTGCAGGATAGCTTCCTGCTAACTCCCCTGTGTCAACTTCACCCAAGCTGTATTTGAAATTTGATTTTCTTATTGTGTATTAAAAATATTCCAGTGTTTTTCCTAGCACCAGCTGTCCTAACACATAGTATGAATGTGGATAATGGTGGTAGTATCCAGTAGAACAATGAGACTCACTAAAACAGATGGTTGCTGTATTAATTCAGTGTGCAGTACTTGGTCTATAGCTTGGAGAAAACCAGTGGTGCTAAAAAGCTGTATGTTAAAATTGCATTTCTCTCTTATTACCTTTCTGCATGGTAAGAGCAGCTCACTGAAGACACCCTGCAAGAGTACAATGAGCTAAGATAAAAGAATAATCAGCATAAAAAATTAACTGTTTCTGAAATGGTCTAGGAAGAAGAGAGGATAATGTGGCTTGAAGATAAACCCCAAAACTCTTTTTTTCAAACCTTTGCTTTGTCTGAATTAGTGGAAATCTTTCTACTAGTTTCCTGTTCATCATATAAAGTACACTGAAGGTTTGTGTGTTGCACTTCTCAGATGTTACTTTAAGATCAAGCTTTGTTTCATCCTCTAAGCCATGGATCTTTCTCTAGTGTTTTGAATAAAATTACTGTTAGATGATACTTGTTTTAGACAAGCACTGACCACTACTTCTTCACTTAATTTATTGTAACTATAACCACACTTTCTAAACCGCTTCTTGGCTGGATTATTGTGGCACTTTGTAAACTGATTCCCTGGTAAATTCCGCTAAAGTTTCAGACAGTACAAAAAAAACCCCAAACAAACCCAAAGGACTGCCCATTTGTTGGCCAAAGAAGCGCTACTGATTCTTCAATGCAGACTCATCTGTTTTCCTTTGTAGTCCAAAGTGATGGCATTACAAATTTGGAATTTCCAGTGAAACACTATAGGAAATACTGGCATTCTTCTGTTCAAAAACTTAAATCCTGTTTAAAGTTTGAAGATTTAGGGTTTCAGTTTAATTACAGAAACATCTTCTGCGGAGTAGAAACTTTTTCTGTCAAAAATCTTATTAGCTGAAGTATAATTTTTTTTTTTTTTTTGGAAGGTGGGGAGGAGGGGTGTTGCAAGTGGTCTTAATGCCGAGATAAGAGAATGGAAAGTCTAATATTTGGTATTAATTTCTTCCATTGGTTCATCAGAGCTTGGGACGTGCTGGGTTAAACCTGGTAGTCACTAATGCACTTCTAGGGCAGAAATGCTGCTTGTTATCAGGCACTGCTTTTAATTCAGAAGTATTGCACAGGGAGAATTAGACTGCAGCAGGACAAATGGATTTCTCAGCCTGATGCATAAAACCTGCAGCATTTATATTGGTTTATGTGAAGCACGGGGTTGTATTAGTTCAGCACTGGTTGAAAGTATTATTATATTCGCTGGTTGAAACTATATTTATGAAAGGGGATGCTGGCATTTAGTTCAATTTTCACTGCTCTTTGACACTGTTTTTTTCCTTTTCACTGATTTTTGACAAATCACTAATTAGTCACATAAAGAAATGGTGTATAAGGAAGAAAGAGAATACATAAAGACCTTGTTTTTATTAGCAAAAGCCTTTCTTACTCTGCCTGGCAGCTTGTAATAGTACTAGTAGTACTTCAGGGTAAATATTTTTTCTGTTACTGTCAACATAGCCCAGTGAAAAATCAGTCTCTTTACTTCTATGCATTAATAAATAAATAGACAGACTGAGAGTAATCGGATAGGATTGTCCAATTTGCCTGGTTTTCTGTAGGCTTTTCAGGTTCATGTAAAATGCAATTTTGCTGTATGGTCTGATTATTTTTCTTTATCTGTAGAAAAAGGGTATGATAACTTTTATCTACTACTCTACCTCCTAGTTTCTTTGCATCCTCCCCCACTCCAGAAGAAAAGCACTAAATACACATAGTCTATTCAAATAAAATATAGAGATTTTATTCACCAATTAGTGGGAGACATCCATCAGTCTTACACTTTCTTCCTTTCTAATTTTCAGATGTATATCACCAACACAGTGAAAGCCAGAGGAACAAGGCTTGCAAAACCTGTTCTGTGTTTGGGTTTAATGTGCTTGGCCTTCCTCACTGGAATCAACAGAGTAGCAGAGTATCGAAATCACTGGTCAGATGTAATAGCAGGATTTGTAATTGGAATATCTATAGCAGTATTTTTGGTAAGTGTGTGTCTGTGTCACTTCTGTTTGAAAAAAATCAATGTATAAGTTTTTCTCTAAAAAAAGAGACAAACTTTTATCTCTAAAAAAGTCTTCAGATAACTAAATAACAAAAGACATGTTTCTTAGGTTTTTTTAAGTAGTCATCAGTTTCCTTAGTAGTATTTACATACACTCAGAAATGTGAAGTCAAAAAAAGAACTGATCCAGTTATATTTTTTGATTTCCATATAAACCAGATTGTAGCATTTGAAACAGTGATTTATGCAGCAAGGCCCACATGCAGGAAGTATATATTCCTCAGAATATCACATAGTTATGATTTCATGAATAAAGTATTAAATTCGATGTAGTGGTACCCACACTGATCAGAGGATAGGTAGCATTTGTTTTTCTGGCTTTACAATAACTCTAATGAATTTATTTCATAGTGATTGAGGTGTATGTTGAAATTTCATATTTTTCTGTATCAAAAAATCTTTGTTTAGCCTTTTCCTTTTCTGGAGCTGTGTTCCAAAACCAGATAGTTAATTGCAGTTGCCCATGACTACTGTCTGTGTCAGAAAACTGTTTATAATCTGTTAATCACCTTCACTAATATCTGCAGTGCAAGACTATAGAATAGAACAGTCACTGCTGTTTAATGCCTGTAGGTTTGTCTGCCTGGCAGCTTGTAATAGTACTAAATACATCTTTGATGTTTTTCCCCATGGAAACACTCTTGAGCTTGACTCTTGGATCACAGGGTCTTGTTCTCAAGATCTTGGATCTGAAAGCATGGCTTGGCTGAGAACCCTGCCAGGGATGGCTGGGGTGGGTGTTTTCGCTCCTCTAGACAGGCAAGGGTAGCTGCAAGTCTCCTTTAAAGTGCATCTGCTTGCATTTCCAAATGTTCCCTTCCACACAAGGTGTCCAGTAGCGTGATATCAAATTTAGTTGTGTTTTGAAGAAAATGTAGTTGGCAAACATTACTGCTCAGCTGAGTGTTGTAATTAGTAGAAGCACAAACTGTTACACATCACATTACAAAGTCCCTGTGTGAGAATCTGCTGCCGAGAGCAGATTTGAAGTTACATTCAGACTTGGGCATGGTCCTTGCCTTCTTGTTCCCTTTTGTTACTCTTCATTTGAGAAAGTCTTTGCTGATCATAACTGAAATGGCACTTGCCTTCCCAGGAGTTATAGGTTAATGCCACGTGATGCTGCAAGACATCTCTTCATGAGATTGAAAATAATTGGTGTTCTATTGTGCAGTTCAGTAATGGATTTTCTTTTAGATAAGAGGGCTTTTTTCATTCTCAAATGATGCGTGTACCAATAAATCACTTGAAAGTCATTTGTCTTGAAATATTAATTAAGGATTTTCTGTAAAACATGAACTTCACATTTCAGTGATTCTACTGTAAAGCTGTGACTAAAGCTGGTGTCATTTCTGCCTAATGATAATTGTCAGGATCAAAGCTTGAAAAAATGAGTTGTTCCTTAGGTATTCTGTTTATCTTCAAATCCCTTCTAGGTTGTTTGTGTGGTAAATAACTTCAGAGGACGTCAGCCAGAACATGAACATTCTCATCTGGATAATCTGACCCAAATGCCCATGATCAGCATACCCAGAGTAGAAAGCCCTTTAGAAAAGGTAATGTCTGACTTTTTAAAAATCAGTTAAATAAAATGTAGCTTTCCTGGAAATCACAAGCTAGCCTGACAAGAGTGCCAAGGTAATCAGATTTAAAATAAAGAAACATGTCAGTGAAAGAGAAAGAAGGAAGGAATTAAATTCAGTGACACTCCTTGGGAGACTCTTCATGTCGTCATTTCACTGACATAGCTGCTGCTAAGCCCTTGAAGTCAGGCTGAGTAGATCTGAGACCCTCTCCCCCCCTTGTGTTCCTCAAGTAAATGTGATTAATACTCTGCCTGATAGTCCACAGAACGTAGAAAGTTCTTAGAATGCTTAGAAAGAAAGTCTAACCCCTGGCCCAAGGGGCTTTGCAATTCAGGTACAAGTAGCAATTATTCTATTTGTTTGTGGTATGTCCTCAGCCTGGTGCAGAGTGTGGGATGCAGTCCCTTCTGGGTCACCCGTGGGGCTTCTGTCATCAGACACGTGCTAGCCCCAGGAGAGGGTACCCACTTAGAAGTGAGAGTAGCAATGGGCCATGCAATGACTGCACTAACCCCATGATCTCTTGTCAGAGCACATGGAATTTTAGACTGGAACATGCTAATGAGAGTCTCCTGGGTATGCCAAGACTTTTTGTTTAAGTATCACAACAAAATTTATTTTACTTTATTGTGATAGCCATTTATATTTTTTGAAGATGGTATTGTACTATGTGTTAGGTAAGATTGTCTGACTAATTTTATGAGCAAAAAACTACTGAAATAGATAGCATAACCAAATACAGAAAATATTTTAGACATTTTTACCAAAGGGAAACTTTGAAGTAGTAATGCAAAGTTTAAAGGAAGGTTTACTTTTTCTAATGACTGTATCTGTCATAATTGATTAAAATCTATTGGGTTATGCCCATATTTGAAGACAGCAAACAAGTCTACACTTGGTAGGACACGAAAAATATTTTTCTGTGGTATTATTTTCATTCCAGATTAATTCTGATTATTTTTTTTTTCATGTTCAACATAAGAAAGATTTCCCAATTTGTCTTAGTCACTTGAATGTGGTAGAAGTTGTTCTTTAGTAAGAATTACTGCTAGTCCTGGGTTTTTTATTCCTTTCCTTGGAGGGAAAGATTTCTTTTCAGAATGGTCTAACATGCCTTTTTTGAACCAAATATGTCTAAACTACTTCTGCTGATATCTTGTCGTAAGGAGGTCAGAGTCACATTTGCTTGAACAAGGGTTTAGATGATGAATGTATATCTTCAAAATAATCCATTCAGTAAGCTTTCTGTAAAATGTCAAAACAAAACAAGCTGTCAGCTGACCTGGAACCACATTAATAAGAACATGTTTTATTTACATGCTAGGCTCTCATGCAATAGAAGCCATTTGTGTGGCTCAAAAGCCATCATAGGTAATATGTGTACGTTCTTGGATATTGAAATTTTAATTTTTTTTCCTAGGGATAAAGACTTCATGTTAACTTCATGTTTCTACCTGGTTTGAGAACCTCTCACTCATGATCAACAATGTTCTTTTCCTGAGACTTGGCCTAGTTTGAGATGCTGTGGGGAAAGCTGTGGGAGAGTGTGGGAGGATGGTGGCTGGAGTAATGTTTGCTCTGCTTGAAGGTACTGCCGTTTGTGAACTGCCCAGGACTCTTATTACATGAATGAGCTTCTTTCCTTCTGAACCCATATTCTTATGGCAGTAGCTGTTTGCTGTCATGCAGCTTCTCTCTAGAGATTAGCTTTAATTAAACTGGGGACTGACCACAAAGTGATACCACTTGCTGAGATCCCATCTTTGTCTATGTTGCAAAGCCTTTCTCCTTTTCAGACAGAGGATGGGATGCAAGGACAATAAGGTGAAGACTCGGCTAATTGCTTGGAAATGCTTTCTTCTGTTTCCACTTCCAGAAAGTTTAAAATTGAATTAGCAAATAATTCATAAATTATTCTTGATAAAGAAGTTACTTAATGTGAGTGCTTTAGGTTTTGAGTTTATATGGATAATTTAAACTTTTTTTTAATGTAATTTTTTTTTTGTTTAATCTAAAGTTTTAGATAGAAGACAGACCCTGTTAAATAAAAGGCATTAAGAACAGTACTTCAAGGAACTAAGGTCTAAATTAAGTTAGGTATTCTCAATTGACTGCCATTGCTACAAGAATTCTTGAATTAGTCTTTGCTTTTTAACTCCCTTCTTATTTTACATCATTTGTTCTCTCCTGAAGAGAGAGATGCTAAATAATTTGTGTGCTATTTGCCTCTTCCTCCTTTAGACACATGAGTTACTTTTCACTACATTTCAGTTAGGACTGTTCCACTTCAATATTCTGAATGCACATAGATTTACATTTTTAAAACTTTTTTCCTTATTTTCAGTCTACAAGCTCCTGTACCAACATTAAAGACAGGATCCATCAGAAATTAGCTACTGGGAGTAGCACAAATCCTAACTGTCTGAAGTTATCAGAGGCTAAGGCAGTGCAAGCTGGAAGCAATGCAGCTATGTGACTGGTACTAAAAAACAGTAACTATATAGGTATCTGGGAGCAAGCAATTAAAAACTCTTGCCTTAAGGAATGACTTCATTAGAAATGCCTGCCGGATAGGACTCCACTCACTGCTATTTTGTAATAAATTCACCTGTAAATGAGTAAGCACATGATGCATCATACAGACCTGGAAGCATAGTACTTTGCTGGGTCCCGGTCTGCTACTGGCTATTCCGGTGCTTTCTCCATGGAGAAGAAATGCTCCTGGCATGCTCACTGTGCTGCCACTGTCTGAGTTCTGGTGGAGGTCTAGCTATGCTTGAAGTGCACTTAAATAGGCATAAGTTCTTGTGATACTCCAAACTGAGCTGCTGCTGCTGCTTAGTGGCAAGGTTAGATCACTGTTGCATGACACTTCTGTTTCATTGTGATGCATGCAGATGATTTAGCTGTTCTGCATGGGTGCCCGTGCAGTCAGGTAAGCTGTAGTTGCAGTGTCTTCTTGAGCAATCCTTGCCAGAGCCTGCTCAGCACTGCAGACTTAGTGCTTTTACCTTAACTATAATCATCCTCAGAAATAATGAAAAGAATGAAAGCCAAGAAACCTCATCACTCACTCATCTGCTTCTTTTTCTTTTCTTTCTCTGATCTTCATCATCTCTTACAAGACAGTTGGTGTTTCAGTTAGCTGGCAGCCTCCTACCAAGAGGAAGCTCTCATCCTACCACAGTCAAGATTAGAGTTCTGTTCTTTTTCAGGAATTATTGAGAAATGGGGATATTCTGGATAGTACCTGTAAGAGTTTGGAGGTTCAGCTTTATCCAAGTGCAGTCACAAATTATGTTTCCTGTTTCAGGGGAGACTGACATTTTTTCATGCAAAAGTTGCCTGAAATTGGCCAGGGCTTACAGAGATCTCCTACCCATCATGTAGTAGCTTATGATTCTGCTAGTCTTATTTATTTTTTATAAGTATTCTAGCTTTGAAAAATACAAATACAACATGGAGCGTTTCAGGACTAATGGAGGCAGTAGATAGAATACTGAGATAGAACGGTTTAGAAGGAAGTGTTGGGTTAGGAGATGCACCATGGTTCATCTCCTGTGAGATTAGATAATTACTGTGATTATTAGTGCTTTCTGTAGCTATGCAGTACTATGCACAGTGGGTTCTTGGCAGTGCTCTGTTTGACAGCTAAACTGCATTTATTCCCCAAGGTTCTGCTTGGCATTCCCTCATACAGCTACTTTTGTCAGCAGTGCCCAAACCTTCCCAAGCACAGGCGCTGTTCCTTGTTGCAATGAAGTTTCTTATACTGCCCAGTAGGACTGACTATCCAGCATGACTGAACTCAAAAGAGAGAGATTGCATGCTCTCTCCTTCTGCCATTTCCGAGTTTTAATGGTCATAAGGATTTGGAATTCCTCTTGCAATATGTGACATTCTTGTTGCCCACCATATTGGTTTTTAGTGACTCACGGTTAACTGTCTCAGAAATCTTCTTGACTTTGACACACTAATTATTGTTCCATTGCGTCTGTGCCAAAGGTGATAAAACATTCTAGCAATAGTAAGTGTAGATATTGCAATGAATTCTGCTAGTGTCTTTAAGACTGGGAAAGATTTCCTGTTCAGAATTTAAGCAGTATAGTTTTTTCTATTTACTCCATCTTGATTATTCACGAGACACAGAACAGCTTCTTCACAATGTCAAAAAATTTTAATTCTCTATATTACTGTTTTTTTCTTGGTCTTACGCATGTTGGTACCAAGTGTTCAATTGCTACGTGCCCTGGTGTGCACACAGCACCATGGCCTAGGGAGCCTGGCCTGCTCCCTGCAGCTCTCCAGGGAGATCACCTCTCACTGAGCTCACAGCTAAAAGGAAAACACAAAAATGCTTTAGCTCATCATACTATGGGCAGATGTGGGAGAGGGATGTGTCCATTTCTGTTGCTTTAAGATGTTTTAGTTGAGAGATCTCCAAATACTGTAGTGCTTGGTGTCCAAAAACCTCCATAGGTGTCCATACTTGTTTCTCCAGGATGGTTTGATGAGAGCCCGTGTGCTTATATCAGCTTATAGGCAGTTTTTGGCATAATCATTCTCTCTTAATAATACAGTCTGTTAAGGTAGATATAATATGACATTGCTTCACACACATACTACAATACCCAGGACAGTCAGCTCATAAAAAATCATAAGCAGTTTTGTTTCAATGTCAAACATTTGAATTTGTATTCATGTCCTACTCTTCTGCTGAAATCTGCTTCTGGGGGATTGTACAAGAATTATTTCTGATTGAATGCAAATGGTGTTCACTATATCTAATGCTCAGATAAACTAATACTTAAACATGGGAAGTGGAACAATATATTCTGTGTGACCTCCTCAAACGTGCATGTTGTAGGTGTTACAGAATCGAGGCGTTAGTCACAGTCAAGAAGATGCTTTGCAAGGAGCCTCTCTGAAAGCACGCATCCTTAGGCTCTTCTCGTGGCTGTGGGGGCCGGAGCGCCGCGAGCCCCTTGCTCTAAGGCAATAACGTATGTGCGCGGCAGCGCAGCGCACCGCGGCTGGGCACAGGCGCTGCCCGCCCGCCTTCTGTGCAGGGCTGCGGGGCACCTCCACCTCAGGGCATCCTGCTGCTCCGAGCTTCTCCAGTGAAAGCAGAAAATGCACTCTGCTGACTCAGAGACTTGTATGATAACATTATTATTATTGTTTGATCAATTATTATTTGCCTGAGGTACTACAGTAGTATTTTTCTATTTAACGAACTCTACTGTGGGAAAAATGACAAATTTATTACCAAGCCCTGTTTTCAAATAGGGAAGAATCATCTTTTTAGGATGGTGACTATTTTTTAATTTTCTAACTGTATTGATAAGAACAAAGCAAAAAAAACTAAAAATATTTAATATATATAATGAAAACTGCAAATGACAGAAAATGTAATGTATTTTTTCAATGCTTTGACATTATAACATTGCTTATCAAGAGAAATTAATTAAAACTTAGCAGAAGATACACAGTTGTGGATCACTTTCCCCAGAAACCTGCGCTCAAGGCTTAGCCCTTGGCTTTATCTTTTTTGTTAGTGGTGTGAGAGCACTGTTATGATGCATGCTTTGCTCACCAGCCTGGTACTGTCCTCTTAGAATGGATGGTACAAACGCTGGTCTGCCTGTCTGTGAGACTGCTGCCATTGAGCAGACCCTCAGCATTTCTGATTCTTGGAGAACTTTAGGGAAAAGAATTTTCCCTGGAGTTGGAGAAGCTGAGGTCTTATGCATGGTTTTTTGCTTGTCTTCCTGCATCTATGTGAATCTGTTTGCTGACAGTAGTTATTGTAGTTAGTATCTCACGTAGTTAGTATCTCACTCTGACCCTTGTCTCAGCAAATCTGTGAGCAGAATGAAAAGAGTTGAAATGTAGTTATTCCAGAGGGATGCTGTTTGTTTTTGTTTTTTTTTCCTGCAGAGTGTCAGCAAGGCTTATTTGTAGTTTTGCCTGAGACGGTAGCATGAAATAGCACGAGTAACCAGACAGCTGCATGAATCTGTATCAGTGATTCTTGCCGTCAGCAAGTGATTAATTTTGACCTAGTTATGCATCGCCCTGCTGAGTCCATTGGAAATGAATGGACAGGCCTTCAGTAGGGTTCAAATCAATAGGTTCCTGATCAGCAGCTTAGCAGTTCTCTTTGAGGGCATTTTGAGGAAGGAGGATTTTCTTCTGTGTTGTTATATCCCATGCCCTGAATGTCTTCCCAGGATGGTGACCTGCTCATTTTGGAAGTATAGCTGGCAGGAGTGTGAACCACATTTTCCTTTCCCTAAATAATCGTTATCCACTCCTGAATTAATGCCACATGAAAGAGCATTTGGTTCTCTGCATCACAAAAAAATGTGTGTCGCTTAGAGACAGGGATGGCACATAGCAGGACTTGAAAGAATTGATTGACATAAAGAGAAATTATTTTTTTTCCCTCCAATTCCTCATTTTTAAACCATCTTATGAAAAAAATGATTAATTTTAGACTAAGGATAGTTTAAGTTGACAGGAGGACTTTTGAGGTCTAAATAAAGAAAATGAAGTAAATACTATGAAGAAAATGTCATCATAGCCTCACAGCAACTCCAGAGTCATTGAGTTTGCCCACTGTATTGTATACTCAAAAGAGAATTTGGCCAGCCAAATAAAATGGAGTTGATTTTTTTTCTAATTTAGGAAGTCTAATTTTGCATTTCTTCTTCAGAATAAAAATCTACAAGCAATAATATTTGTTACTATTTTTTACTGAAAAGGTTTTCATAGAGCATTGCACTCTTTTTTATCTAATGCTTTTTAAAAAAATCTGACCATGGTTTCATAATTGTTGTTTATTTAAAATACATAAATTGTGTTTTGGGAAAGAATATACATAGATGCTTGCTGTTAAGTGTTAAGTAGTATTCTTCTGTGAAAGCTGTCATAAAATACAGCAAGAACATTGCTGGAGCTAAAATGCATATTGTAGGGGAAGTGGAAGAGAGCTTCTCCCCCTGGACACAGAACAGTTAAGTCATAGTGAGAGAGGGAGCAAAGCTGCCAGCTTGGCTTGAGATGGAGGCATAAGGGGTAGCTCTCTAATCAAAGCATTTCTAATTTCCTCTCTCTAATGTGAAAAAGCAAAGATACCTGTCTATCTCTCCCTGCTCACACATAGACAAATATTCAGGCAGATTAAAGAAGAACTGAGAAATGGAAACTTAGATGGTGGACATTGTTTCTCTCCAGCAGTTTTTATGTTGTGATAAGAGATTTTCTGAAAGACCCTTAAGCAAAAAATGGGAGGTCCTGCTCGCCCCAGGTTATCCACATTCCACTCCTCTTCAGCTCGCATCTCCTCTCTTCTTTAATCTGCCTCAGGAGGAAAAGTGATGAAAAAAATTTGCAGTGCTTTACTTGATGTTTTACCCTCTCTGCGTTTTTGTGCTTGGGAACAAACACATGGCTTAACATCAAGGTTCCCTTTACGAATTTCTCCACTGGATGTTTTGTGTAAAATGGTGGCAGTCAAGGGTACAGTGTGCCCACAGGGAAATACACTTCCTCTGGGTCCTGCACATCACTCTGTTTGCTTTCCCCTTCAGATGCTTGCAGAATCACTTGTTTAGGTTTGAATATGAAAAAGTAGCCAAGCTCTTTGGCATGCTGCAGGGTTTTAGAGTTGCACATAGAATGTTCATGTTCCAATACACATCTCAGTGTTCCTAAGAATTGTCCCACTGAAGGAAAGAGGAAAATGTTCTTAGATTGCAACTGGACACTGGTGATTCTGAAAAATAAATTTTGAATAGATGAGTTCTTAACTGCCAAATGCCACTTGATTGCAAGCATTTTGCTACTTGATTCAGTGCCATGGAGCTCATGGGGAGAAAATAATCTTTAAAAAATTAATATTAGAATTGTATTTACACTGAAGTAGAGTATTATAATCTGTTAGAAACTGTCATTTTAATTTCTAGGAATTTTGTTTTCAATTATGAATAACAGCAATAAAAGTACAGATAACTCAATTATTCACATGTAATTTAAAATTAAACTTAATTTAAAACAAACAAAAGCCATCTGAAATTAAAATATAATAGAACCATCACACCTAATTACTTTGTTCAGCATACTTCCCTATCGAGTCTTTCAGCAGTTAAGAATTGCTATGGGAGTGAGTGAGAGCACTGCAGTGAAAACCAGTTTCATTTACATCATCCTTCAATAGTCTCCAAGTACAAGGCTGCCCTTCAAACACAGGGGGCAAAAGTTTTCACAGTGGTGACTGCTGTCTGTCTGTGTGGTTTTGTGGTTTTTATCTGTTTGTTTTTCCTTTAACTCCTAGAACCACATCACGGCCTTTGCAGAAGTCACATGATGTTGACGCTGATGTATATTCACTCCACTGGACTTCATCTCTTTTCACAGCCCACACATGATATTTGCAGAGTATCAGAAATAAGAAATTTTTAGAAGTCCACTTTCTGACTTGATTTTTACATCACTAAAATGATACCAACATTTTGAAGAATTCTTAAATATTAGAGCGTCACTTTACTTTCTAGCAAAAATATTAACTGTTTACTTTTATGATGGAATGGGACAAACTGAGCACTAATTATCTGACATTACCCTCTATTTTGGCTTCTCATTGTTTTCAATGGTTCATGTACCTATTCCAACAGTACTTTGTATTTTGATTTAACTTTGATTTTTAAAATCTACATTTTTAATTCCGCATGAACTTGTTTCCATTTGAGGCAATTTCAATGTATAAAAACTAGACAAATATTATGTTCTGTATGAAAATGCTGTTTGCACATTGTATTACGCTGTATTCCATGTAAGATATCATTCAAACGGTATGTTATATGTAAGACTGGTGCTTCTGCTTTTGAAGAGAAAAAAATGCCAATTTTTACTGTAATAAGTATTGTATCATAATTAAAAGTTTATTTATTTGGATATTTTCCTGACATAATTGTAGTTGAATTGTTGTTTTGTAGTTCTTGAATGTCTTGGATGACTTATATGTATCTAGGTTAAAAGAAGTGAGAATAATTTAGAGAGTTTGATCTTTGATATATTCTTTATTACTAATGATATCCCAGGAAAGGTTAAGGGCTCCGTTCTTAGCTTAGCATATCTGATGGGAAGCCGTGCTATTCATAAATCATTTAAACAAATTACTCAAGGCAGCCTGCATCTTCTCATGGTTGTTGTAACCCCTGATACTATGCTGGGAGAATGGGTGCTAAGATAAGAAGAGGGTCACCAGCTTAGTGAGAAAAGTTCATCTGAGTTTCTACTCTCCATTTTCATGGAAAACTCATGGAAAAACCAAAATGGCTCAATTAATTTTTTTTTTCAGCCTAAGTGACCAGGACAGGCAGACTTTCTCTCTACAAATCCTTTTATCTCTGTGTTTGAGGTTCATATTCTTAAAACAAAAAAGAAAGAAAAAAAAAAGAAAAAAAATCCTCTGCCAGCCTGAATGGTGTTGACAAATTGATTTTTCTTCAACATCAGCCAATGTTACCATATCTCTGTTATTGCTGTGAATATTCAGATTAAGCCCCCCTTTGGAAGAGCCTTGCTGACTATTCATGGTGAAGTTGTCCTATAAAAATTGAGCACCAAATGGATCTGAATATTCTAAATACTGGAGACATTCTTTACATGTACCAGCCAGTGTCCCTCTGGCAAGAGCAGATAAAATGCAGCACTAGAGAAACATTGAGAACACTCTTGGTCAGTGAAGGCTGTTGAGCATTTTAGGCCTTAAATTTTCCAGAGTTCACTGTATTTCCTGTGCATTAATCATTGTTAGAGTATGTTTGAAACACAAAGATGTAGAGTCAGGTGTATTTTTTCTATGATGAATTTTAATGCATTCTCGTATAGTCATCAGATAATGCCTGCTTTTACTTTGTTTTAACCTCTGCTTTCACTAAAATATAACTACCTAAAGAGTGCTTGGCAAACAGGGCAAGGCCAAGTCATCTCTGAGTGCAATAGAGCATATGCCACAAAGTCATTGTGCTAAGCTGAGAATTGAGATTGAAGAAATATATCTGTGGGGAGAAAAAGACCTAGAATAGAGTCCTTAGCTACAGCTAGGTAACTTAGGTGATTGAAAATCCACCTTTATTAGACTATCAACTGTGTTTACAAAATTGTAGTAGATCCAAAGTTTGTATCACCGTGTTAAAGTCACCCTGCTCTTAGTCTAGCTAGTTAGGTTCCAAGGTACTAATGATTTCTCTGTGTGCAGATTTAAATGAAATGTTCACTCATTTTTGCATGGTAGCAAATCTGCATTTTTTATATCTGATTTATAAGATTACCAAGAGATTCTTTTATGTTAAAAGAGATGACTCTTTTTCAGTGTACTGTATATCATCAGCTTGTAACTGGTCTCTTTCTCAGGATCTTTCCCAGTCAAATATTTGGGTTAAAATTATCATACTATCTCTGTGAACCAGCAGTGAGAAAACAAAAAGAGAGACACTCTGCTGTATAATGTATTTTTAAATAAAATAATTTTTCATTCATATGTAGTGTATTTTTTTAGGTGTCTGCTTTACATATATTTTGGTTGATGGTGTGCATGTAATGAAATTGTGATTTTATGTGAATTGCATTTGGTGACATATTCTCACAATTAACGAGGAATCCCCACAGTTAAGGGCCTACCCCTAGAAGTAGTTCTGGTGAATTTGAAAAGCATGAGAGGAAGAGCTGTGTTGCAGAGTCCACAGCCTGTTGGGAAAGGACTCTCCCCATAAAGTGGACCAGCCAAGCTCCAGACATTGCTTTGACTGATTTTCAGAAGTGGCAAGAATTTGCCCTCCCACATCTGTAACTCTCCACTGCCCTGAAGTTTGGTCATTAGCTCTTCCATTCTGGACCCAAAAAAGCTTTGAGTAGGAAGAGTTTGCTGAAACAAAAGTAAGTTGTCACTTTTGTACTAGAATGGCTTTTTGGTGATTGCTTTTAAAAAAAACCCAGTGATGAACAAGCATCATTCCTCATTCAGGGAATATTCTGGTACAAAGTGGTTCCTACTGAAAACACTGTGGTTGAACCATTTCAGTGGTTTTGAATGCAACTGATTTTATTATTCTTGTGCACCTTTTCCGTGTGTACTTCAGTGAAACAGCTCTGCTCTATTTATAAATGAGATGTTTGAGAAGCATCCCTAATGTTATATGCTGCTGTGTTCCTAAAAATGGAATTTCTGAGGCATGTGGGGACACCAGCTGGGCTCCTATCCATACCATTTTAGATTCTCTTATATGGATTCTGCTGTTCGTTTATATTCAGGAACTGCGTAAGACATACGGTGATAGCATCCGGGCTCACATTTTTTCAGCTTTTAAAAATGTTCATTTTAACAGTATGTATTAAAAAAGGATAATCTTGGTATTTTTCAGCTGCAATTTTCTTTGCTGTTTGCTGTTGCCTTCTAATTTTGTTGCTGCCCAAGATCACAGTGAGTGCAACAGTCCATTTGCACATTATGTTAGCGGGGAGCTTTTTATATTCTTCTGAAGTGTAATTTTGGTTTTTCTGAGGCTTGCCATCAGAAAGCAGAGTGCATTACATTTTAGGAGCAGATAAACTGATTTTGTTTTGATCAAATACATCCCTGTCCATCTGCATAGCCTCAGCCTTGGGGACACTCAGGAGCATTTGCAGGCTGAAGGGTGAGCAGACTTCCAGACCTCTCAGCTCTGCAGCACCTCCCTCCAGGCACATCAAGATCATTTTTACCAGGCTCTGCCTCTGACAGCTGCCTCAACCCCAGCATACTGGATTTTCCTGCTGTACACTAGCATGAACAGTTTTTTTCTCCCCTCAAGCACCTCTTGAGAGACTGGACAGATCATGAAGTGCACTACAAGCATGACTGCAGCTGGAACCAGCAGCTGCCTGGTTCTCACTTGGACAAGTGGAAAGCTCAAGGAGGACCTAATACGGCTTCAGCTTTTGGCCTTCTCCTCTACTTTCTCTAGGGCTTTTGGTTTTCAGGGATTTTCACAAAGGAAAGTAAAGCAAAGCAAATATTTACAGTTTCTCTGCCACTTGAAATTCTACTGCATCCCTAGGGCTGTGAAAGCTTTACACTTGCTATTGGCCACTAGGGACTTTCCAGTATAACAGTGTTGCCTTTTTGTCATCCTCTCCTGTGTGAAAATGGCTGATAAAGCTTCTTAGAGTTTCTAGGTTTGACCTGATGTTTGGGGAAGAAGACGCTGGGAACACCCCTGAAAGACCCCTGCCAGGGTGGGAATGGAAGCCCTCGTGTGACTGTGATAAGCCTGCGTTTTGCTGAGCACTTGCCGAGTTGCCAGACCAAGGTATGACCGACAGGTTTGTTGCTCATAATAAGCTGCCTGTATTTGCCTTATCATGAAGCCTCAATCCCCTTTCAGCACAGAGGATTAGGTACTTGGTTCTGTGGTCAGTACTGGAGCTTGTTCTTTCTCTGTAGAGAATCCTAGGAACTACAGCATATCCTGCATGAAACTTGTCCCGTGTCTGCTGATGCTCTCCTAGTCAAGCTGGAGGTAAGTGGGGTGTCATTAACCCCTTCTAAGGTGCTTAGCTTCCACTTGGCTGTAACTGTAGGCACACAGTTTATGGTAACTGGGAGTGGGGCTGGCCCAGCCTCATCCCCAGTGGGTGCAGCTGTGAGCAGCAGGTGAGCAGCACTGGCAGCAATGAGCCATGGAGTGCCCAGGGACACTGAGCAACCACCAAAGGGAGCAGAGGGCACACAGGTGACCTCTGATGAGGTATGGTGTTACTCTGTAATGGAGTGAAGCTTTCTGAAATTGTTTGATGTTACTCTGTGTGTTGTGGCTGTCTCAACTGCGACATGGGCTGTGTTGTATGCTGCCATGTAACCATCCCATGATGCAGGCGTTTGGTGATTGCTGGAGCTGGCAGCACTGTAACCAGCCTGTGCCTGGGCTCTAGCTGCATGTTTTCTGAGAGCTGACAGCCAGTTCTCTGCCTATTGTGTCCTTGAACTCAGTTTCTTCTGTTCCACTTGTCAGCTCTCGATACTACGTTCTGCTGTGAGATGTGATGTTCATGAGGCAGAAGGGGAGCACGGCTGTGTTTATCAGAACATTTTGGATACCCTTTCATGCCTTCTACTCTGGTCGGTTGTCACTGGCTGTGTAAAACATTTGGAAGGTTAATCTAAGTAGGACAGTTTAATTCTGAACAAAAGTTTACACCCAGAGGTTTTATTTGATTCTAACTAATCCACAGAGAATCTCTAGCTAATTCAGATAAACTGTCCTGAATTGTCTCTTGTGTAGAGAAGTCCCAAGCCTTTCTCTTTTTTTTTTCCCCCAGAGTAGGTCTGCTGTTTTAATATCTTCCCCTAGTGACTACAGCCAGAACAGTGTGCAGCAGTCAGAATTACTGAATCTATCCTCTGAATTGGGGGTGTAGAAACCCCAGTAAAGAGCTTGAGTCCCCCAAACCAAATTCTTGGCAGCAGTGTTCTCATCTAACAATGTTCACAGCAAGATAAATAAACAAAAATAAGAAACCAAATCCTTTTTCAGACAATTTTTTTCCTACATACCAAAATTAAAACTAAATACATACTTTTTGCAGGTACAGGGAACTTGTTGTCTTGGTGGCAGTCTTTAATGCTACCAAGCTTTGAATTCCTATGACTGCTCTGAAGTAGGCAAATAATCCTAGAAAAAGGAGTGAACATGTCTACAACTGTAAAAGAAAAACTAGAGGGATGGTATTTCTATATTTTTGAAGTATGTTTTCTTCACAGTAGAAGAAAAAAGCTAACTTTAGTCTGCTGTTTCTGCTAAGAAATCATCTGCTGTTTCATATTCTTTTGCTACTGTTGCTTAAGGAAATGCAGCTACTGTTCCTTCCGTAGCAACCTCTATTTATAAAGTAGGAACTAACGAAGATATTCTGTTCAAGTATTCTAAAAATAAATCTGATGTGATGAGAATAAAGTGCTTATTTAGCAAAACAAAATAAAATGTCCATTCATTCTCTTTGAAGACAGGGGACTGGAAGCTAGTCTTAGTAGAAAACACAAGGAAGGAGATAAAGACCGTTGTCTTTTTTTTGTTGGTGGTGGGTTTTTTTGGGTTTTTTGTCCCCTGAGAATTTAGAGAAAGCATTGTAAGGATGTTGGCTTGGATCATATAATCTTACAAAGAAAAACATAGAATGCCATTGGTTTTGTATTATGTGTATTTTGTGGAGTCCCTCTCAAAGCCAGTGAACACCAGTCCAGTAGAGGAGGAATAAAAAGACTAAACAAACTGTTTCTTGTCAGTTGGAGGGTGAGAGATTTCCCACACTGTGTCTTTTCAGGAAAGAAACCAAATGAGTAGGGAGACTTGATATCAGCTGATTATGTGACAGAATTCTGTCATCCTGGGTCTCCTGTGGGAATGCTGCCTGCTTATAGTTTAAATGTTTCATTCAATTAACATTTTTCTTGGAGCAGATAATTGTGAGATGTTTGAACCTTAGTTCTTTGTCAGATTCAGAAGTTGATATTCCCATGGCATTGGATGCTATGCTGCTGCCTTTTATTTTCTGCCTGGTGACCTGGCTTCCCTCCATATTGAAGGTAAAAGGCTGTACACTGCATTTTAATAAAATGAATAAAATGGACTTTTTCTTCAGGAATCTGGATAACTGTATATAGATCTTAAGAAGATCTCTCTCATGGATGTAATTTCTTTTGAAATTTGGGATTGTAAACTCACTTTACCTGTATACTGCTGTAGACATGACAGTAAAAGCTTTTTATAGTTGAGGAGAAGACTCACCTCTACGGGCTCAATGGAAGAGCTACAAATTTTAAGCAGTGTGGTGGAAAATATCACAAGAGTTTGCTCACCTAGGAATCTCTTTATGGCTCTCGTGATCACACGTGTTTTGATTTTCAGATGTCCCACTCACTGCACTGTGGTTGTGGTTTCAATTGGAAGGAAGGTTGTTGAGAAGCATGCACATTAACACAACAGAGACCAGTACTATGGCTTTCTTCTTCATCCTCATTAGCTTTTAACATACCTGCATGACTGCCTTTTGCTACATGGCTCTGTGCCCAGTGTTCACTTCCTGAATCTGCTTCTGGCATTTTTATTTCTCAGTAGATGTCACATACTGCTGTGTCACATTGTGTAATAACCAGCAAGTGTATTGGACTTAGGCCTTTGCCAGCATAAAATTGCTTTTTCAGATGCAGGTATGAATATAAAAATAGAAAAATGTGGTGTGGTACCAATTATTTTAATGGGAGTAGAGCAACAGCAGAAAATGAGATTTGTTTCAGAAGAAAAACAAAGGGTAGTAATAAAAATTTGGTGTAAATGTGAGGTAACTTCACCTAAAGAGAACTTTCAATACAACTGAGATGTCAAAGGATACAACTTTCAATGACTTTATAGACAGTGAATAAGAATTCCCTACACAGCTGCTAAGCAAATAGATCATAGTAAGTTAATTCCTGACACTGCAGATCCCACCAGGAGTGGTCTAA